GCAAATCTTAAAGTGCTATAGAAATGCTAACTATTGTTACTTTTACACATATTAAGGAGGGGAGAAAAATAAGCATTTATAAATGCCTATGACATGCTGTGCTAAGCACTTCATTCATATTAACTCATTCTATATGCTCAATAACACTGGCAATGTAGATACTGTTATTATCCTAATTTTATAGTTGAGGAAACTGAGGCAAACAGAGATTAAGTGACATGCCCAAACTCACATAGCTAGTAAGTGTCGGAGGCAGGATTTGAACTCAGGTCTTCCTGACTCCAAATCTAGTGCTCTATCCACTGAGTTACCTAGCTGCTTCTAACCTGGCCCAAAGAAGGTGTCCCTCAATTCTTTCAACAGTTCCTGTTCGAAGCTCTACCTTTCCAGCACCTCCCAGTTTCTTCAATTGACATCCTGCAAGAAGATGAGTTTTGAGCTAAGTCTAGAAGGAAGCCAGAGAAACTGAGGCCAAAGTGAGAAGGCAGGACGTTCCAAGCACAGGTGGTGACTGACATTGCAAAAGTCTGGAAGTGGGAGATTTGTATCACCTTAATCATAGAAGGTACAGCCAAGCCAAACAAGATGGAATCTACCAGTGCAAGGGGACTTTCCCATGATAGTTCCTGGTTTAGGCACGTAGCATGTTCTAGCATGGAAACTTATCCCTCTTGGAACTGGGAGATCAGCTCCTTAAAGGCAGAGACTGTCATTTTTTTACTTTGTATCCCCAGTGGAATAGAATATCTATCAGTGTTTCCCACAACATGAGGTAGATCTACATGTGCCCTCCCTTCTTCCTTCTGTGATAGGGATTAGCTTTTCCTAAAAGGAGACAAAGCTGTCCCCTTGCCTTCTCTGCAGTTTCTTGGTCACTTAGGGGAATAAAAAGTCCCAGCCACATAGAGTCTGGGCCACTCCAACTTGATGGATTTCTGAAGACCATGTGAATTCCAACATCCTTTATATTATATGTATAATGTCTATATCCGTCTCTTTATATCTATAACTATAATCTATCTATCTATCTATCTATCTATCTATCTATCTATCTATCTATCTATGCCCTAATAACGAGAATGAGGAAGGTTAAGTCCAGGGAAGCTAAGTGAACATTGAATCCTTGTTGCATATCCTGCCTGGGTTAGGGCAAAGTCAATCTCCTTTTGTTAACTTTTCAATAACTCATGAGTGTTTTGTTTCATCCCAACACTTATCCTGAATTAAGAGAGTGTTGGAGCTGACTTCCACACCCAGTGTCTAGCACTAAGAAGGCGTTTAATAAAAGCTTATGAATTTATGATCTCCTCATTGAAGAGATGTCATAGGTCAAAGGTGTCCTTGAAGAGATGTCAAAGGTGATTGAATGATCGATGTCAATTCATATCAAAGGTGATAGATTCAGATATGGAAGGGACTTTTGAAGGTCATCCACTCCAAGCTCCTCATTTTAAAGATGGGGGTGCTAGGTTAAGTGATTGCTCAAAATCACACTAATAATATGTGCCAGAGGCTAGATTTGAACCTAAATCCTCTGGTTCCAAAGCCAGCACTCTGGATTTCCTTGTACTCCCAGAAGAACTTGTCAAAATTGTCCATTGGACATTGCTGTTGATAATGATAATAATAATAACTATCCTGCATATTGTACTTCAAGATTTGGCAAAACATTATTTCACTTGGTCTTCACAGCAACTCCACAAGGTAGGTGCTATTATCATGCCCATTTTATAGAAGCACTCACTTTAGTCCACGTCAGTTACCAGATCCCTGTGCATCCAAGTGGGGAAATATTATGAAATGAGGATGAGATGAAATGACTTGCCTAGGGTCATGCAAACTACCTTTAGTAGGGTAAGGAGAGGGGCGATGGGCAGCCTAGACCTCCAGGGTAGGCATCACAAAGGTCAGTTTGACCTTGTTTATGGGAAATCTCTAGGATGGATCTCTGAACATCTCTGTCCTGCTCAGTAAGAGATGCCATCTGGAGCCAGGACTGCTGACTTCCCCCACTGCCTAAACTGGAGTTTGCTTCCCTCAGAAGAAAGCAAGGACACCCTGCAAAATAACCGGTCTCTCAGAGCTTTGGGCCACCTCTCGCCCCAACTGGGAGGTCTGTGGAGATCCCATCTGCTTTTGGGTGTACAGTACAGGAAGTGGCTTCGCCATCCTGAGATGCTGGCCATCTGGGCAACAGATGATAGTTATGGTGGGGTGAAAAAGCCATCGTGAGACAGTGAGCAGAAAAATACTAGGACAGATAATTCCCTCGAAGGGAGTGAGATGGGCTCCAGATTGGAAGATCTAGTAAGAATAAACCACAAAGGCCAGACTGTCTTTTAACAGCATGTTTTTTGAAAGCTCAAAAATCTAAGGAGTTGAGGCAAGGGAAAAATGGGTATGGGGTATCTATTCAGTCTGGAAAGTCAGGACGGAATTGGGAGGCAAAAAATGGGATTTAATTTATGTACAGTAGTTTATGTTTATACTTTATGGTGACAACGATAATGGCAATGATAATGATGGCAATGATGATGATGATGACAATGATGATGATGATGATTACAGCAGGCCAATGAAGGAGATAATCTGATTGAAAAAGGTCTTTAAATTCCACTCAAACCATGCTGCCAACATGGTGCCATTCATGACTTCCCTAAGAATGTAGGATGAGCTCTAGAAGAGGGAACAGCAAGGTGGCAGGCAGAGGACTTGGGGCTTTTATTGACTTTGTCTACCTCACCCTGCCCTCTCTGGCAGAGCCAACACATACCTACATGGTAAAAAGGATCCTTTGCTAATTTGTTATTTGGGATCTCCATTCTGGAGTCAAGCCAGCCCACACATTGTTTCCCTGAACAAGCCACATACAATCCTGTCTCCATATTCCAGTTCACACCAATCTCTGGGAGCAGCAAGCTTTCCCACTTCTCCGTTTCCCTAAGCCCTACCCTTCCTGTGAAGTGCCCTTGACATTGTGTGGGTTGTGATAATATATTTTCATAGTTCATTTGGCTTACCTAGTTAACTTTCTTTGACTGTTTGAGTCATGGCATCATAAACTTAGGATTCAAAGGGACCTTAAAGCCCATCCATTTCAATATCTTCATTTTACAAATGATGAAACTAAGTCTGGGAAAAAGCAAGTGATTCAGCCAAATCACATGAGCAAAGAATCAGTCTTTGAACCTAGGACATAGAATCATAGGACTACAGATCAAGAAATATAAGGTACCTCAATGATGCAACCCTTTTATAGGATCACAGATTTAGAGCTGGAAGAAACCTCAGGAGTCATTTGGGGCAACCCTCTATTTTACAGATGAGGAAACTGAGGCCCAGAGAAGTCAAATAATCTGCTCATGGTCAAACAGCAAATAAGTGTCTGGGGTGGGACTTGGCCTTCTCTCACTTTGCAGATGAGGAAACTGAGGCACGGAGATTAAGTGACTTGCTCCAGGTCAGAGAAGCAGTAGGAGTAGACCCCCAATCCTGTATGTTTGTCCACCACACCACTTCTCTGATTCTAAATCCAGTCCGATAGGATCTTTTCTTCCTGTGAAATCTTGTAGTGTTATTGCTTCAAAACATCATTGGGCCAGTTCTTCTCTGTTCGTGTTTGTCTTGTAATCATCCTGTGATTGTAGGACCCAAGAGGGCAGGATCTGAGTTGTTTTCCTATGTATTCCAAGCACCTAATGGAGGTAGGCCTACAGAGAGTGGCCTCTTGGAATCCTTAGCTTGCTTTAGGGTTCAGCTAATGTACCACTTCCTCCAAGAAGCCTTTCCTAATGCCCTCAAGTACTGGTACTCTCTCTGTTATCATCAAAATATCTTGTATTTACTTAAATGTGTATATTCTGTATTTCCCAGAAGAAGGTAAGCTCTTTTAGGACAGGTGTGTGTGTGTATGTGTGTGTGTACATATATGTGTGTATATATTCTCAGCCTCTTCAGAGTTTGTTCTAAGGAAAACAAATGAAATTAGGCTGTGTGTCCACATTTTTATTTCTCTCCAGATGGCTTGACATGTATTGTATAGGAGTTATATTCCAGAACTGGGAACCCCTTAAGGGGGCTAGTCCAGAACTGGCTAGATTTGGAATTTGGGGGTACATGGTTATGCCCTTCAAAGAGTAGGTATTTCCAAGGGGTGCCAATCAACTCTGATTGGTCATCACGCTGGGAGGTGGGCCATATTAAAAAGAGGTAATAACTTAGGTCACTTAAGCCTGGTACAATACCTTTTCAATAGGGGCTAAAATCATCCTGCCATCATTCTACCTCCCAACAGAAGAAATACCTGTTCTATCAGACCACCCCTCTACCATACCAGACCACTCCTAGTCTTGGGTTATCTAGGCAGAAGAATCTGTCTCCACCCAAACCTGGGTAGCTTCCAATGCAATCACATTATCAGTAATGTCCTCCTGAAGAACTTTTCAGAAGGGGTCTGGGAGATGAAGCTCTAAGTCTAGAAATCATTTTTCACAATACATGTATATACACACATAACTATACACCTATGTACACATGTCTGCATATACATATATACACACCCACATATGTGTGTGTGTGTGTGTGTGTGTGTGTGTGTGTGTGTGTGTGTGTGTGTGTGTGTGTATTCCATCTAGATGTCACCAGTACCTAGCACTGGGTCTTGCAAAGAGCAGATGTTTGATAAATATTTGTTAAACTGTTGGATTCAATCTATTCTACGTTGGTTAATATTTCAGGGGCTCTGAACTCAGAGGACAGAGATATATTCTGTCACCTTGTGAATGCTTGGAATCAGATGAAATAGCACACACAGCATCTTAGAGTCATTGCCAATCCTATTACTCTGAAAACAGAGACCACTGGTTCTTATCCTCACAGAACTTCAGGATGTGTGGTTGTCTGCTTTGGAAACTCTGACATATCTCCTTGTTTTTTAATATGTCTCTCAAGCCTTCTGAAATGAAGCCATTACTTTTTTTTAAAACTCCTTTGTTTTCCAGGAAGAGATTGGCTCTCCACTGCCCAGGAACCAAGTCCATAAGTGGAAAGTCCAGCATCAAAATGGTAAACACACTTGGGGGAATCACTTCCAGGATTACACAAATGTTTTATCTTGGGGAAACCATGGGTAACATTAATGTAGCTTCCCCTAAAGATAGCTTGGTAGATTTATCTTCCTTGTTGTTCAATCAGCTGAGAACTTCCTTTTGTTGGGAATCTACTTATCTTGAGACCAATCAAGTTGTGACAGATATTTTTAGTCTCTGTGATTCTGGAACCAACTAATCTAAACAAGAAGAAATCTTTCAGAGAAATGCTTCAAGGGACATAGCTTCTGGAGAAAACAAATAGTTATTCTATCTTTGACATTTAAGAGCCTGGTTTCCCCCTAAGTCATTACTGGAAGTTTAGTGTTGGGCTAAAGGCCTCTTTTTGGACAAGGGACTTAATTCCTCCTCTGCCTCCTTCCCTTTTTTGTTTTGTTTTGTTTTGTTTAAACTCAAGTTCTTTCTTACACTCACTATTTGTCTTGAGTATGCTATGCCCATTATATGATCATATCATCTACAGTTTCTTCACATCATCTTTTGAAACTCTTAAACTACTGAAAATGCAGAAATCAGTCATCAATATCCACCTATGCTATGTGGCAGTCAATGGTGTGGTAGTAAATGTTTAACAGTAGGCTCTCTGGGGGGAAAAATGAACACAAGGCACACTTTTAAGTAATTTGTATTATTAATATTTTCTCCATCACTTTCTTAAGTCTAAATAATCAACAAGAGAGAAACCAATATCTGATATGTGAGGTTTGATTTCTTAGGTATAAATGAGTGTTGGTGGTTTCCCAGAAATTAATGCTTACCTTAAGAAATTTAGCAATCAGCTCTCAGGAGCTGGCATAAGCTGGCTCCAGCACTCTCCTGACTGCCCCCCCCATCAGGAATTATCATGATGAATCAGGGACAAAACTCAACATACTTCCAAAGAGAGAATCATCAATGCTTGCTGTCTATGCTTCCTTTACACCCACAGAGATGGAAGTAATCAATTGCATTCCTTCAGGCAAGATGGAGGACCACCAGGCCTTACCATCTTCTCTGCTCCTATGCCCTTTAGGCCCTAAGCACTAATATAATCCAAAGACCTCAAAGTCTTTTTATCTGTCCTTCTGCTGCATCCTTTGGACTTCAGTGGGGGGAGGGGGCAGGGTTCCTTTCACTCCACAGCTGAACTTAATTTTGTCTTATCTCCCCCAAACAGAATATAAGCTCCTTGAGAGCAGGGACTAACTTTGACTACTTATATCCTCAGTGCTTGCACATAGCAAGAGGTCATAGCACCCTGGTTCAGAGGCCATCTCTTTATCCACTATGCCACAGATGATTTCCCTAACAGGATGCAATTTAGTTCTTCTTGGAAACCATCCGTTCCTTCATGGATAACTCTCTCATAATGTTAGTTGGAGTACAAAGCATTATATAGCATCCAGAGCCCTGTCTCTTCCCTCCAGTAGTTTATAAGTTATTTGAAAGCCCTTTGTGTCCTACCCAGTGCTAAGCATGGTGCTAGGCACATAGCAGGCACACAATAAACATTCATCCAATTACTGAAATGAGAAGCAAGATCATCTTGGAATTGGGTGGCCACTCCTACATATTTTATTTCACCTAGCTCTCTTCATTGCAGGGCACAGTCTCTTGACTGCTGTCAATCCACTGCTGGGATTGGTCCAAAGGGTCAGTCATCTGTGCTACTCTCCTTGGTGGGTTTATCTGCTGGCAAACTAGTATAGACTCCAATTCCTGAATTTCTGGTATCTCACTCTTCTGAACTTTTGAAGTTCACAAGTTTGTAGTTATCACTAATATTCCTTCACCTTAGAGGAGGAGAATATGGACATGGTAGAGACGGAAGCACCAGCAAGTCCATGTGTTCAGGGGCTACATGTCAGCCCAGGTAGAGAAAGCCTTAGGCCTTATTCCCCATGTTTATAGCTTGTCTTCCCTCAATTACCACCAGGAAATAGAGTTATAATATAATATAAATTGTAATAAATATAATATAAAATATAATATATAATAAAATGTAAATATAATAGTATAATTTGTTTAGCCATCCCTCAATTGATGGACATACTCTTAGTTTCCAGTTCCTTGCTATATCATAAAATGTTGCTATAAATACTTTTGTACATTTGTGTCCTTTCCCCTTTTCTTTCATCTCTTTGAGGTATATTCCCATTAGTTATACTGTTAAGGTCAAAAAGTACGCCTAGTTAAGTGACTTTTTGATATAGTTCCAAATTGCTTTCCAGATCATCATTTGGACCAATTCCGTGCTCTACCAACAGTAAATCAATGAGCCTGTTTTCCCATAGCACATTCAACAATTGTCATCCCCCCCCTTTCTTTAGCAACTTAATCAGATGTGTATGAAGAAGAATCCTAGACTTGTTTTTCTTTTCATTTTCTTTTTATTAATGATCTGTAGCATATTTTCACATTGTTGTTTATAGCTTGCTTTTCTTTTGAAAACTGCCTGTCTGTATCTTTTGATGATTTGTCTATGGGGGAAATGTCTCTTTTTCTTATATATAGGGTGTCCCAAAGGTCTTAGTGCAGCTTTACCCTGTATTTGTATCAATTCCCCTGATTCCTTTTCTGGTCATATATTTACTGGATACCATCTCTTGTACAATTTCTTATATGCAGGTCAAGCCCTCACCATATTCCTTCTAAATAGCATCACAGTTACATTTGACAGCGCCTACTCATTATTCTTTATTGCAACTAATCCAAAGCCTGGTTCAAAGCTGTGCTTGAGTGAGGATGAAACAATCATCAGTCTTAACTACAGACATCAAGCTTTGTGTCACCTGTACTCAGCCCAGAACCAGACTTCCTATAACCCTGATATATAACCTTCTCCACTGTTATCTCATATTTCTCTTCCGTTTCATAGTCAAACTCATAGGGAAAAAGTTATCTACACTCATTGCTTCTATGTCCTCACCTTCCTTTTATTTCTTGATGTTTGACTTTTGACTCTTCTCCGTATTCAAATGAAACTATTCTTTCCAAAGTTCCCAACAGTCTCTTAATTGCCAAATCTAATGGTTTTTCTTTGTATTTATCTTTTTGACTCTCTGAATCTTCCTACACTATTGACTTCCCCTATCCCTTGGATATTATCTCATCCCTTAACTGTTATGACATTACTCTCTCATAGTTTGCTTCCTACTTGTCTGACTATTCCTTCTCAGGCTCCTTCAAATGATTATCATCCGTGTAACCACCTCCTGAGCATGAATATACCCCAGAGCTCTGTCCTGGGCCTTCTTCTTTTCTCTATAGCTCCTCTCCCTTGGTTAAAATAGTTTCCACATATTATTGAGGTTACTTCTACAGTACCTCCTTTATCTATCACCATATCTAAGTCTACTTCTACAGCACCTCCTTTATCTATCACCATATCTAAGTCTACTTGTATAGTACCTCCTTTATCAATCACCATATCTAAGTCTACTTGTATAGTACCTCCTTTATCTATCACAATATCTCTACACACATAGCCAATGCCCTAGTTCATATCCTCATTACCTCTTGCCTGATTTATCGCAATAGATGCTTTTCTCCACATCTTTCTCAGCCCCTTCATCTCTTAGAATCCCAAGTTTCTTATAAAGGTCAATTCAAATGCTACTTACTAAATGAAGCATTTCCTCATTCCTCTAGCTATGAATGCCTGCAAAGATTTTGTATTTGATTCATCAAGCAGCTAAATGACACAACAGATGGAAGTGGGATCAGGAAAACCTGAGTTCAAATCCTACTTCAGACACTTACTAGCCATGCGATCCTTGGCAAATCACTGAACCTCATTGTCTTAAGTTTCCTCACCTGGAAATATGGATAATAAGAAGTCTGACTCTTCACATGGCTGTTCTGAAGAACAAATGGAATGATCTGTGTAAAATTATGCATAAACTTTAAAGCATTAGAAAAAATGATAGCTATTAGTATTATTATTATGTGCTTTATATGTAAATGGGGCAGCTAGGTGGTACAGTGGATAGAGCACTGGCCCTGGAGGTAGGAGGATCTGAGTTCAAATGTGGCCTCAGACATTTACTGGCTGTGTGACCTTGGGCAAGTCACTTAACTGTTTGCCTCAGTTTCCTCATCTGTAAAATGAACTGGAGAAGGAAATGGCAAACCACTTGAGCACTGTTACCAACAACTCTGAAATATGGTCACAGAGATTCAGTCATGACTAAAAGGACTCAATAACACCATATATAAATGCATATAATATGTGTCTGTATATAGAGAGAGGCAGACAGAGACAGAGAGGCAGAGACAAATATATGTTGTTTTCCAAGACAGAATGCAAGCTACTTGAGGGCAGGGAATCATGATGTAATGCAGAATATTATTTTGCCATTTTAGGTAGTAGGGCCCTTTAAGCCATGGAAAGCAAAAGTTGGTGCTTAATCTTGCCCCAGACCTCTTTCCTCCTAAATCTAAACAACAGTGAAATGTACTCTTGCATAGCTCAGCATAGCCCGTACCTCCAATACAAATGGATAAGAAAGCTTGCAATATAATTGCTTTAGATAATTATGTTTATAACAGAGACCAGGACACCTGGTCTAGTTTGTGTGATCTCTGACCTGTAATGATGGGGTGCTCGGGTGCTTGTGCTTGTACCTGTGCCCCAATTTCTCCCTAGTCTCAGAAACACTGCCTCTGGCAACCACTCCCCAGCCCAAGGACACTGTGCCTAGCAGTTATTCATGTATGGGCCTCAGCATGACCCTTATCTCTCTCCCTGGTACAGCTACACAGAGCTGGGCTGCTGAGGCCCCAGCCCTCAGATCATGTCTCTGGAAGCCTCCCAATTCCTTAGTAAGTTCCTGTGTTGTGAGAAAGCTTTCCCTTGCTGCAGAGCATTCTCTCATCAAGACAGAGGGAGATGGGTGTCTTTGGCCAGCCCAAGGACTCTTCCTCCTGCCAGACTCCAAAGATCCATCCCCCTCCCTGTCCAGTATACTCCCCGTA